AAAGTGAACTTTATAAACTAAAAAGTTACAGTAAGCTAAGATTAATTTATTATTGAAAAAAAATCTTACATACGTTTAGTGGAGCCTAAATGTTCAATGTTTATAAGATCTATATAGTGTGTGGTTTTACTCTAGGCCTTTACATCCACTCACCACTCCATCATTGACTTACCCAAAGCAATTCTGGTCCTCAGATTCCATTGATGGTCAGTGCCCTATACAGGTGAATCTCATCTTTGTTGTTTTCCTTTAAGTAGATTTTCGATTTACATCAAGTGTTGTAATAACAGAGATACTATTTTTTGACTTTCTATGCAATATTTTTACTGTACCCTATGTTTAGGTATTTTAAATACACAGGTACTTACTCTTGTGTTACTCTGGCCTACGGTATTCAGTACTGTAACCTGCTGTACAAGTTTGTAGCCCAGGAGCAATAGACTGTATTATACAGCCTACTTATATAATAGGCTTCACCCTCTAGGTTTGTGTAAGCACCCTCTGTGATGGTCTCACAATGATGAAATCACATGATATTATAGTTTGGATCTGGTGTGTGTCCTAAAGGCTCATGTGTTGAAGGCTTGGTCCCCAGTACAGAGATGAGGATTTGGGGAAGTGATTAGATCTTGAGGGCTCTGACTATTGAAGGATTCATACCTTAGTGGACTATTGGGAGGTGGTGGAAACCGGAGGAGGAGGAATCTAGTTGGATGGTGTGGTTCCTTGGGGGCATACCCTTAGGGACTATACCTGACCCTTTTCTTTCTTTCTGCTTCTCAGCTGCTAGTATATGAGCAGCTTACCTCTGCCACACCGTTCCACCATGATGTTTGTGCCTTGGAGCCAGCTGACAAAGGCCTGAAACCATAAGTCAAAATAAACCTTTCCTCTTCTAAGGTGTTTTTCTCAGATTATTTTGTCAAGTTGACAAAAAGCTGACTAACACCACTGACAACACATCCATGAACATATTCAGACTCTTGTTAATTGATGCATGACTATAGATGAAAGAACGCTCAACATATTAATCATCAAGAAAATGTAAATTAAAATCACCATGAGGAATCACTTAACACTTATTGGAATGGCTGTTATCAGAAGGACAAAGGATAAGGAGTACAACAGGGATATGGAGAAAAATGAATGTTTGCAACCCTTGTTCATGGGAATGTAAATAGGATAGCCAATGTAGGTTCCTCAAAAAATTAAAATAGAACTTCTGTATTATCCAGCAATTCCACTGGTGTTTATCATACATCCAAAGAAAAATGAAACTAGGATGTCTAAAAGCTATTTGCACTCCCATATTCATTGTAGCATTGTTTCTAATCGTCAGTATATGGAACCAATCTGAGACTTTATCAACAGATGAATGAATAAATAAAATGTGCTATATATTCATAATGGAATACCATGCAACCTTGAAAAAGAAGGAAATCCAGTCACTTTTGACAACATGAATGAATCTGGAGGACAAGCTAAGTGAAATAAGCCAGACACAAATAGAAGAAATGCCACATGAACTTTGTTACAGGAAGAGTCTAAAAAAGTCAAACTCAGAAAAGAGTAGAATGGCAATTATGGGGTCTGTGGTGGGTTGCAGGGGATGAGAGATTGGTGAGATATTAGTCAATACAAAATTTGTTAAGTAAGTTAAAGAAATCTGTTGTGTGCAAGAATAGATTCTAAGTGTTCTCACCACAAAAAAAATATATGTGATGTAATTCATATGTTAGTTTGATTAGCCATTCCAATGTATACGTACTGTATTTCATAACATTACGTTGTATAGTGTAAATATATACTATTTTTATTTGTCAAGTAAAAGTAAATTTCTTAAAAACTATTGGTTCTACCTAGGAGATATATATATATTTTTAATTTTAAAGCTTTTACCCCAGCATGTAAAATATTCTGTTAATCCTAATTGCTGTCCAAAAACATAACAACAATAATATTTATTTTTGTGAAGTCAGAATTCTTGACTTCCTCCCCATTTTTTTTTTTGTAGCCTAGGAGCAACAGAGTATATTATATAGCATAGGTGTGTAGTAGGCTATACCATCTAGGTTTGTGTAGGTTTATTTTATGTCTCCTTATACCAGATTATTATGTCTTTTGATTCTTCCTTAACAAAATTAATTATAGTTCATTGGTTAACCTTCTGAATCTCAGTTTCTTTATCTATAAAAGAAGGATAGTGATTCCCAACTTGCAGAGACTTTTGTATGGATTACAATATGGTAGAAGCTTAATTAGCAGTAGCTAATTACATCTTTGGAAAGATATATCTTTATTTACTGTTATTATTTTACTGTCCTACATTATCATTGTTATAACAGGCAGGCAGATATTTTTTGTTGTTTTTTCTCTTTCCATATTTTTATTGGTACACTGTAGTTTTTTACATAATCATGGGATTTCTTGTTATAAATTCGTACATGCACACACAGTATAACAATATAATTTGGTCAGTATCACTCCGTACACACCCCTTATTGTTTTCTGATTGTGAATTCTAACAGATGAGGTTTAAGGTTTGTATATTTTGTCTTTTTAATATGATTAGTGTTGTCATGAGAATATCATCTTTTTTGTTTTCCTTTAAGTAGATTTTCGTATTTACATCAAGTGTTGTAATAACAGTGATACTACTTTTGACTTACATCCATGTTCTTTCCTATTCAAATGCCATTTTTGGTAGACATCAGACATAAAGATTATTAAATCCTTAGAGTTAAACTTTTTTTCTCTTGGCATGTCGTACCATGTACCATAAAGGTGAACTAAATCTTACTTTAGACAACAGCTAATCATTTCGCTCTTATCAAAATCCTAAAGTTACTTTTCTGTTTTGTTGTTGTTCTTTTGGATGGTACTTTTATCATGGAAGCCAAGAGAGGAACTTCTTTCAGAAGGAGCTTCTTTGAGGTTTTGTTAATCAGGGATGTCAAGATTAATAACTCCACTATGTTGTTGGATTTTCATGAGTTTCAGAAAATCTTTAAAAGTTACATTACTTAACAAATGTATAAAGTACTTCAATATATACATTTGTGTAGTTTTGTGAATTAAAAAAAAAGCTATTTCTCTTTGTTTGGGTTCATTTATAAAACTGTGAAGTAGTCATACCACAACCCTCTTTTGAACAGAAACTAAGGAAAATAAATTGTAGAAATTTGTCATCAGAATGTTTTGATTTAGGGCTGCCATTGACAAATGATAGAACCCTGTGAAAAGACTTTGCTATTTAAATATGATATTATCAATCATCCTTATTCTCATTTTCTCTCCTCATACCTACACTTAAATATGTATATACACAGTATCACTATCTTTACCATTGTAGGCGTAAAGGAAAATTGAAACCTTTAAGGTTTTATTCTTTATAAAACTTTACACTACAGGCATTAATACTAAGATGAAGAATTATTTTAAGTTTAATGATCTCATTTGAATTTTGAAAGAATTGTGGTTTATTATACTTATTAACATATACATCATGATTTTTGATGTACATATTTTGGACATTATTAATCAGGAGCACATGGGTGATGTAATTGATGGAGGATGTTGTGTTTTATTCTGTCATTGTATGTGCAGGCAGTCATCAATTTTTGGATCATGGACAGCACATAGCACAGCTGCTTTTGTGAAATCATTGTGGTTCTTTGAATATATGCTTCAGTACCTTTTATTGTCTCCTGCATATAAGAGAATATAAACTAGATATCTTTAGTCTCAGAGAACTGATTGAAATAGATTAGTACACAAGTGCTTTTATTTAAGTTTTCTTTTAAAAACTTTTTAAAAATAAGTTTATGATTTGAAGGCAGAGTGCTTACTAATGAAACATCCTTTTTTAAAAAAATTCAGAATTCTCATTCTGATATTAATATAACTAATTCTTAAGTTATTAAGTCGAGGTATTGTAGAGTTTTCCTTTGTTAATATTAACTTACTCTGTTAAAATGGAAAAGAATCTAGAATTAAGAAAATTAGGATTAGATCTTAATAATGATAATTTTGTATATATATATGGTTTCCTGTGAATATACTCTTTTCATAAGATATACAATCACCATTGTATGAATATGCATTTTAAGTATCTGAGATGAGGATTCTTTCTTCTTATATTTTATTTCTTCATAATACTAGATGATTAGATGTCTTCTGAAAGCATTTTCTTCTTAATAAGCTTAATATTATGATAAAATCAGTACATTCTGCAAAATTAAACCTATTAATATTATCAAAACTATAGTTAGTTTTATGGGGAGTATTAATGAGAAATTGTTAAACTACCTTCATTTCTTGAACTATTTAAACATAGTTAATTAAGTAGTATGATTGTGTTAAATAGGTAGTAAAAGTAAAAACTTTCACTGAGTAATCATAACTTCTTTTAATTTCTTTTTTAAAAAAACAATTTTGTATCTTTCTGAAATGTCCTTATTTCAGTCTTTATTTCTGACTCACTTATAAGTGTCTTTCTAGCAGAGGAAAAGCTTGATCCTTAGGACTTTCAAATTTGGCAACCAGTATTTCCATATCATGCAATTAAGTAGAAGAAGTGGCATTAGCCAATAGCATTACTGAGGTCAAACAGCTTCAAGAAGTCAGGGGTACTCCATTGATAACTGTTGCAAAAGAACTCGTACTATTTCTTTTAAACCATTTTTTTTTTGCTTATTCTTCTAAAAGGGAAGAAAGTTTAATGTTCATTCTTTGCTGGGTTTGCTAATGTTAAGAAGGTAGTTCTATAGTGATAGAAATTTAAAAAGCAAATGGAAAGAAGTAGTTGGGGCAGCCATTTAACCTGAATCTCTTTGGTATATACAGTGTAAAAAAATGTGTTATGTTCATTTTAAAGAGTTCTGAAAAATTGCTAACAAATATTAAGCTCTAAATAAATAGCAATAATACCAGTCTTTGCATTGACATTCTTATTTAATTTGTGTTCATAAATGCTCTGATATCTTTTGCTTATTTCATAGTGTTTGATGACGGTGATGAGAGAACATTGAGACGAACATCACTTTGTTTGAAAGGAGAGAGACATTTTGCAGAGAGTGAGGTAGGGTGACAGGGATGGACTTTTTGGGTTTAACAACGCTATTGGTCTAGAGGTAAAATGTGAATTTAATTCATCTATTTCTTATCCAGACACTTGACCAGCTTCCATTAACAAATCCAGAGCATTTTGGAACTCCAGTAATTGCAAAGAAAACCAATAGAGGAAGAAGGTCCTCACTTCCAGTGTAAGTTTTTCATATTTGGGTATCTTAGTTATAGTTAGTACCACATTAAACAGGTTATTTTCCCAGTATGACTACATTTGATTGGGTAACCTGGATAACCTTTTTTCAACATCTTGTGTCCTTATGTTAGACATTTTATTTTGAGTAGACCTTATCCTTAATTATTCTCATTACTTTGCCCTCAGGTTATCATAACTCCATTTTCAGAAAGGCTACATTTGTTTTAAATTACTTTGCCCAAATCCTTAATCTTAATGATGAGTTCCCTTTTGTAATAGAGTATATGTATTTCTTTTACCTTTTTATTTTCAAAATTTTTCACACTTAAAAATTGAAAGAATAATACAATGAAAACTGGGCATGATGGCTCACTTCTGTCATTCCACCTATTCAAGAGGCTAAGACAGGAAGATGAGGCCAGGCTGGCAACTTAGTGAAACAATGTCTCAAAGTAAAATTTTAAAAAGGACTGGGATGTTGGGTGCAGTGATGCAGCACTGTAATCCCAGCCGCTCAGGAAACTGAGGTAGAAGGATTGCAAGTTCAAAACCAGTCTCAGCAACTTAGCAAAGCCCTCTGTAACTTAGGAAGATCCTGTCTCTAAATAAAATATAAAAGGGGCTAGGGATGTGGCTCAAGCAGTAGTGCGCTCGCCTGGTATGGGTGCGGCCCGGGTTCAATCCTCAGCACCACGTACAAATGTCCGCCAAAAACTAAAAAATAAAATATTAAAAAAACTTACCAAAATAAATAAATAAATAAATAAAATATAAAAAAGGACTGGGGATGTGGCTCACTGGCTAAGCATCCCTGCATTCAGTCCCTGATTCTTAAAAAAAAAAAAAGTGTGGGCTAAGGAATTAACTCACTGGGATTACTTGCCTGTCACATACAAGGGTTCAATTCCTAGTCCTGCCAAAAAATAAAAAGTAATAATAGTAGTAATGCAGTGAACTTTTATATACTTTTCATTGGTTTCACCAATTTTTAATGTTTTTTGGGGGCACATTTTGCTTTATAATCCTCTCTTTTCACATATGTTGTTATACTTAATTCTGCCCATTGTGCTAATAGTAGTTTTTATGACATCCCTTCCCTTTTTCCTCTGATTTTCCCTCTGATTCTAGGATATAATCCAAAATCATACACTTTATTTTTTGGGAAGTATTGGGGATTGAACTGAAGGCTTCATTCATGCTTAGCAAGCACTCTACCACTGAACTACAACTCAAGACCTTTTTTAAAAAAATATTTTTTTTAAATATTTTTTTTTATTTGTAGATTGACACGATATGTTTATTTATTTATTTATTTTTATGTGGTGCTTGATTGAACCTAGGGCTTCACACATATGAGGCAAGCGTTCTACCACTGAGCCACAGCCCCAGTCCCAGATCTTTTTTTTTTTTAAGTTTCGAGATAGGTTCTCACTAAATTGCTTAGGCTGGCCTCAAACTTGAAATCTTCCTTCTTCAGCCTCCTGAGTTCCTGGTTTTATACACAGGTGTCATCAACCTGTCTATGTGGTTCTTAAATGCCCTTTAATCTGGAGAAATCCTTTGACCTTTTTTGTTTTATATAACCCTGACATTTTTGAAGAATATAGGCAAGTTTTAATAGACTGTTAATCAATATGGGTTTGCACAATAGTTTTTTCATCATTATATTCAGGTTGCATATTTTTGACAGTTATACTATGTAAATGATACTGAGTTGTTTTCAGTGCTGGTGCATTTATAAGTGTATGTTATCAGTTTTTCCCATAATTGGTGATATTAACTTTGATCACCTACTTAAGGTGCTGTCTACCAAATTTCTCAACTTTGAAATTAATCATAGTTTACCATTTTCCCCTTTGTAACTCATGAATCTGTGTGATGATACTTTAAAATTATTTAAATACTGTGTTCTTTTTTTTATACTTATTTTTTAGTTAGACACAATATCTTTATTTATTTTTATGTGGTACTGAGGATCGAACCCACGTCCTCACTCATGCTAGGCGAGCATTCTACCACTGAGCCACAACCCCAGCCCTACTGTGTTCTTTATCAAACTTTCAGTGGTCTTTGTTATTCGATAATTTTTGCCTACCACCATAATACCAAAATGGTGATTTTTAAAAAAATTTTTTGTGTGTGTTTGCTACATTTCTTAACTATCATGTAACTACAGTAAAAATCTTTTTCTTATCACTATGGACTCATGAATTTTAATTTTACTTAATAGGTTATGATTCACTGTTTAAAAATTAATTTTGATGCTCAAGCTGTCCCAGTTTTAGCCAGCAGGAGCCTCTCTGTGCCCTTTCAACATATCCTCACCATTTCTTGAGCATTTTGTCACTTTCTGGCATGACAAAGTATCTTAGCCTCATGTTATTTTTTTCTTGCCTCAACTCTGGAATTGGCTATTTCTCCAGGGACCCTTGTTTCTATTAGTGGAAAATAGTAGTTAGAAACCAAGACCCAAGTATAAGACCCAAGTATCAGATGTACTTATTGCTGCTGGGAGAGGGTGGGGAGGTTTTATAGTAAAGATTTTAAAAGGCAAAGTCAGTAATGCTTAAGTTGAAAACCAGAAAGTAATAAAAGATCTTTGGGGTCCCTAAGTGGAGATATCCATTCCACTACTTCCTAGATATGTTAGTTTGGAGAAATTATTTCACCTCTGTGAAATTAAGTACATTTACATATATTTACTCTAGTGTTCACAAAACTTGCAAGATCTATGCTTTTAAAAAGTTGAGTCATCTGGTTTCTCAGAAGTGCTTCTCTATTTGGAGAAGCAAATAGAAGTGTTAGAAGAAGATTAAAAAAATTGATCAATTCAGACAATAAAAAAAGCAGTGTGGAGTTTGACATCTATGAAGAGGAAAAGAAGGAATGAAACCATAACAGGATTAGGAACTGAATGAATTTGAACCACTTAATAAGAATTAATAGTTTTGTATACCTGTAGTAACTCCAGCCATATCAATGTAATACAGGATGTTTTTAAGATATCAAATTATTCAATAACTCAAATGAGAGTACATATACATTTTTATTAAAAAGAGATTATAGGCTTACAGTTAATACATACTGATTATCCTTTAGGATAAACTTTTGTTATCCAGAGAAGTTACATAGATAAACTTTCATCTCTGTTTTCCTGAGATATTTTCATAGACTGTTAGAAAACTAAAATTTAGTATCTGACCTCTGGCATTAAAAAACAGAAATGCAATCTTCAAAAATGTAAGTACTTAATGGTGGTGTAGTTAGCCTTTTCTGTCCCAGATGGTGGCTTCTATGAGGACCTACTTGATACAGTGAAGTGGGCTCAGTTACTATAGACAACTCAGGGATGACTTGTGTGAGGCTAAGAAAGTATCCATCTCCTCAGTTCCAATAGGTATAGAGAGTCTACTACATTATGTGCTGAATTCAACATACTAAATTCAAACCACTTTGATTGTGTTGAATAATGATTTATGTTAGCATAATGATCCGATTATTCTAACTTGTAGTACTGAAGATGAAAAGGAAGAAGAAAGTAGTGAAGAAGAAGATGAAGATAAGCAACGTCTCAATGACGAATTATTAGGAAAAGTTGTTTGTGTGGTATCTACAGTTGAGAGGACTGAATGGTATCCTGCTTTGGTAAGTAAGGTTTCTTTGCACAGTTTATCAACCATATAAATATTTATTTAGAATAGATTTTTAAAAAAAGTTTTTGAAATATTGTGAAAGCATTACACAAATTTAATTTGGTGCAGATTTAAAAACTGAGCGGTCAGCCAGGTCTACAAAAATCGTATTTCACTGTAGTCCTTTATTATTCCCTTTTTTTCATTCTCATTTACTGGAACCTTTCAATTTTTACCTCAAAATATGTCCAGTGGCCTCTCTATCCATTTTTGTACCTTCAGGTTCCTTTAGCTTGATTCCTGAATTCTTTTTTTTTTTTTTTACTAAATTCAGACTACTTTTCTACTTTTAAAGTTAGTTACATCTTTTTTAAATAGTGATTTAACCATGATAATCCTATTCTCAAAAATAAACCTTCAGTCAGGTACAGTGGCACAAGACATGTATATAGTCACAACTGCTCCAGATATTCAGACAGGAAGATGGCTTGAGCCTTGGAGTTGAAGACAGGCCTGGGCAACAAAGTGAGGCCCTTGTCTCAATAATAAATAAATAAATAATCAGTTTTCACTGAATCTGCCTTATTATCAATTTTGCATTCTTTAAGTGGATATTTGAGACCATCCTTAGATATTCAGTTGTTTTCTAAACACCCCATCCCACCCTGGTTAACTAACATACCTGATTCCTGTGAGCTCTTACCCCACCTTAATTAGCAGAGACAAGAGGATTATTTGATGAGATGAGTCAAAAGCATTTGTCTTGTCCATTGCAGAGGTACATGCCTATAATCCGAGTGACTGGGGAGACTGACACAGGAGGCTCAGGAGTTCAAATTTAGCCTCAGCAACTCAGTGAGTCCCTAAGTAACTCAGCAAGACCCTATCTCTAATATAAGAAAGGGTTGGGGATGTGGCTCTAAGCGTCCCTGGGTTCAATCCCTGGTACAAAAAAAAAAGAATTTGTCTCACTGGGACTCCATTTCGGTTAGCTATTAAATGAGAATAGGGAAATAATAGAAAACATGACTGAAAAGATAATTTGTATCTGATACAGAAGGATCCTTAAAAGACTAAGTAAGGTTTCTTTGTACAGTTCATCAACCTGTAAGAATTTGGATTTAATTCTGCAGAGAATTTTGCAAAAGAGTGGTATCATTTGAACTGCATGTTTAGGAATGTTGATAAAGCAGTGGTGTGTTGGAACCATTGTTGTTGCAAAGCCAGGAAGGAGGTGGCAAGAATCCATTTGAATGCCATTAGAATGGTTCACGCTGTAAGATCATGAGGCCTTCAGTTATGCCTATTCATCCTTTAAGACTTACTGTAAGTCTTAATGCCACACCTCTTCCTTGCCACCTTGGGTTAACTCTTCCTTCTAGGTATTTGCATACTATCTTTTCCCTTGTGGTATCACTATACTTATCCCCATTTTGTTCTTTTTGTATGTCTTCTTTTGTTTGCTCCTCAGTTATACTTTTAGATCTTTAGGGTAGGTACAACTATATTATTAGTCTTAAGAATTACCAGTACCTACCAAAGAAACATTTTCTTCCATTTGTTGTTAAGACAGGATGTGACTGCCAAGAATATTTAATGATCTGGATATATACTGTGCAATAAAATAGTCATGAACTGTATGGGTTATTTAAGTTTAAATGTAGCTTAGTTAAAGTTAAATAAAATTGGGGACTGTGAGTACGTATAGTTTAGTGTTAGAGCACTTACCTAGTACATACGAGGCCCTAAGTGTGATCGCCAGCACAGCATGAAAAAGATTGCAAATCCAGTGCTCAGTCCTGTGTAACTCAATAATACTGTATTGGACAATGCATAAAAAGTCTACGTATAGTGCTAGATTGTAGGAGAGAGGATAGTATTGGGGAACTCATGATCAGGTGTATTTCAGTAATTTATCATGAGTCACTTTTTTTGTACTGGGATTTGAATCCAGAGGCACTTAATCACTGAACTCTACATCCCAGACCTTTATTTTTTATTTTGAGACAGGGTCTCTATAAGTTACTTAGGCCCTTGATAAGTTGCTGAGGCTGGCCTTAAGCTTGCAATCCTCCTACCTAAGCCTCCCAAGTCATTAGGATTAAAGCTGTTCACCACTGCACCTAGCTTTTTTCTCTTTTTGTGAGATGGGATCTTGCTTTGTGGTCCAGGCTGGCCTGGGACTCCTGGGCTGGAGTGATTCTCCTACCTCCACTTACTGATCAACTAGGACTATCATCGTGTGCCACCACACCCAGTTTAATTTTTTTTTAAATATAAATTCTATAAAGTATTCAGAAATTATTCACTAATAAGCATTAAGACATTATTTTTAAAAGTTAAAAAGTGTTTTATTTAGGGCTGGGGATGTGGCTCATGTAGTAGCGCGCTCACCTGGCAGGCATGAGGCATTTGGTTTAATCCTCAGCACCATATAAAAATAAAATAAAGATACTGTGTCCACCTAAAACTAAAAAATAAATTAAAAAAAAAAGTGTTTTGTTTAGATTTTTTTTTCTTTTTTCTTTTTATTTTTTGGTGGTACTGGGATTTGAACCCAGTGTCTCATGCATGCAAGGCAAGCACTTCACCAACTGAGCTATATCCCCAGTCCCCTTTATTTTAGATTTTTAAAAAATTCTTCTAA